AGACAGTCTGGAAAAGGAGGATCTCCAACTTTCCTCTGGCTACCTCCTGTTGTGACCATCTTTGGTCTTTAGTCACTGCTGGCTCTCAGCTCCTCTGTTCAGTGGAACTGGCCAGTTGGACAATACAGCTTACTCTTTCTTTCTCTCTCTCTTTCTTTCTTTCTTTCTTTCTTTCTTTCTTCCTTCCTTTCTTTCCTTCTTTCTTCTCTTTCTTTCTTTCTTTCTTTCTTTCTTTCTTTCTTTCTTTCTTTCTCCTCTCCCTTCCCTTCCCTTCTCTTTCCTTCCCTTTCTTCCTTCCTTTCTTTCTCCTTTCCCTACCTTTCCTTTCTTTTTTTCTTTCCATTCCCTCTGTCCACATAGAGTATCATACCCTAAACTGCAGGTGCTCTGCCCAAAGGAATATAAATTTTGATTTCTGAAACCTTTGCTAACTGCTTTCTACAACTATTAATTGCATAACAACTTTGCGAGGTAGATGCTGTTATTAACTTTATTTTACAGTTAAGAAAATGTAGTAAACAGAGGTCAAGTGACTTGCCCTGGGTCACATAGCTAGTAAGTGTTTGAGGCCAGATCTAAATTTGGGAAGATGAGTCTTCCTGCCTTCAAGTCAGGCGCTCTATCTTCTGCACTACCTAGCCACCCAACAAATGTGTGCATTCAATCAAAACAGATCCATACATTGTCCATATTTAAGGATGTGTGCTTCATTCTGTATCTCTAGTGTATCACTCCTTTGCCGAATGTGGAAGGATATGTATGAATTAATGCAAAGTTGACTGTCATCGAAATGCTAACTTTTTAAAGAAAAAAAAATCCAAACCAAAGGAGAATTGAAACTATGGTGTCTATGCTATTTCATATGCATCTGAAAAAAGTACAGGATTTGGAGTCAGGAAAACTAGGTTCTGACACTAGTCTGTACTGTGAGTATAGACAAAACATTTAATTTATCTGAGCTTTTGTTTTTTTCAGAGATTTTATTTATATCAGCACTTACAGTACCTGCCTCAGGGTTATTGTGAAGAAAAAAATTGTTAACTTGAAAACGCTATATTTTTAAATATGAGGTTTTTGGTTTTTTGTTAATCCCTTGTTGCTTTCTTTTATGGGTGAGGAAGTCTTCGAATGTAGAAACGCTTAATGTAAGCACATCTCTTTTAGAGACAAATATAGGACTTTATTTCTGACACATTTATTTTGGTAGCTCTTGTGGTCCATAAATATTTTGGACTTATTTGATGGTACTTCTGAGAGAATTTCTAGCTCTGAAACTAACTTGTTTTTTAAATAATTTTTTTTTAAAACCCAGTATGCCAGAGTAAACTCTAGCTCAGTGATTTCTAAGCTTACCTTTTAGAATGAACTATGCTGTCGAAAGATCCCAGAGCTCTGCTCCTAGGAATAACTACTATAAAAACACGTCCTGTCTCAATCCTAGGATAAATCTGGTCATGTCTAAGCTAGGACTGCATCTTTTGCTGTTAAAGTATGAACCATACCATAGAGTAGCTAACTCAACATTTGGAATTCCATTATCGTGAAACTGCTATTATTCTTTATACTTTGGTCTTGAAGTTCAAATATAAATTCCCTTGATATTTAAAGCCCTTCACAACCTGTCACAACCTACCTTTTCAATTTTATTGTACATTGCTAGCCTCCATGCAAACTGTGGTCCGGTCACCCTTCTTCATCATACATAGCACTCCCATCTAACACTTGTGCATGGGCTGCCTGCCCCACCATGTCGAGAATGGACTCCTATTTCTCCTCCAGCTCTTAGAATCCCTAGTTTCAATGATCCAAGACAGTCCCAAAGTAATGAAGCATACTATCCGCCTCCAGAGAGAGAGAACTGATATTGATTGAATATACACAAAAGCATGCTATTTCTCACTTTCTTTCATTTGTTTTTCTTTTATTTGAGTCTCCGTTTACAAAATGACTACTACAGAAACATTTTATATAATTGCGTGTTTAACTTATGTCTGATTGCTAACCATCTCAGGGACGGGGAGGGGAGGGAGAAAAGAAGGGATAGGACTTGGAACACAAAACTTTAAATAAAAATGTTTAAAAAATTGAAAAAAAAAAAGAATCCCTAGTTTCATTAAAAACACAGCTCAGGAGTCATCTTACACATGAAACCTTTCTTAGTTTCTCCAGGTACTAGTCCCTTAAAATCACCTTGCAGATGTCTTGTATATACTTACATCTGAACATATTATCTTTCTTGGCTGGAATGTAAGCTCTTTGAGAGAAGGAACTTTTTCACTTTTTGTCCTTGTATCTCCAGCACCTAGCACAGTGAGCAAAGTAGGTATTTAATAAATACTTGTTGATTTGAGCTATTCTGGAGCTTTCATCTCTAGCAGTTTTACCTCAGGTTCTAAGATTATCAAGTTTAAAAATTCTTTTCAGTGAATATCAATGTGTTCAAAATACATTTGACACCTACTATGTTCAGGGACTTGTGCCAGGAGAGGCACAAAGATGAAAAATTATGTCCTAAAGAAATGTATCTACTTTAAATAGATGAAAATTATTATTTAAATTCTAGCTTCTTTAAAGAATTTCTGTTGAGTGGGAAGACAGGACTTTGTCTCTCCAGCCAGCAGCAAAAACATACTTAGAACTCTTTAGAAAGTCAGTGTGTCATCCTCAGTCAGGATGACAAAGCATCTTACCTGTTTTAAATTAAAGGTTCCCTTTAATATTTAAGAGTGTTTTGTTTTTGAGGTGGTTGTATTTTCTTGTCGGGAGGACTGACAATATGTTCTTCCTATTCTTGTTATTTCTTCTCTAAAATGTGTTGGAAAAGTATCACCTGGGAAGGACAAGAGATGACAAGACCATTATGGAAATTATTTAAGGAAAACATGGCAGCTGGTTTCCTTGAAGAGCTCCTTTCTTGGGGAAGAATAGGCCTCAGAATCCTTCTTCTGGTCCTATGAAATTGGACAGATGTTGTAAACAATGTAATAGTTTACATAATTGTGGATATTGTGAATCAAATAGGATGCGAATAGGTACTAAATATGTGCTGATATTTACGATTTCATCACTTCCAAAAGTAGAAGAAGTTTCTTTAACAGTCTCCCGTCCAAGTGAGATTAATATTAATGAGAGGCAGGGTAGTTAATAGACTGTTGAATTAGGAATTAGGCAGGCAGGCTGGCAACTCATATTTATTAAATACTTACTATATGCCAGGTACTGTGCTAAGTGATGGGCACACAAATAACAAGCAAAAGAAAGAGCTCTAGCTGAAATCCTGGCACTTAATAGTCATGGGGCTGTCAGCAAACCTTTTAACCCTTCTCTGCTTCAGTTGGCTCATTTGGGAAGGCTAAAAAATAATATTTGCATTACCCATCTGGAGTATTGTAAAGAAGATACTTTGTAAACCTTGAAGCGTTAATAAATGAGTTATTATTATAGTAATTCTACATAACAAGGTAAAGACGTAAATCATAGTAAATTAGGACTGAGAGGGACCCTATAGTCCATATAACCCAATGCCCTCATTTTACAGATGAGAAAACAGAGTCCAAGAGAATTCATAGGATCATAGATTTTCAGCTAGAAGGGACCTTTGTGGTCATCTAATGCAAGTTTCTCACTTTAGAGATTAGGAAACTGAAACCCAGAGAGATTGATTGCCTTAGAACCAAGATTCAAACCCAGGTCTTGAGACTCCAGAGCTCTTTGCTCTACACCATATTGTTTTCCACCATTCTCTGTTGATGGAGAGCTGAGGTGAAGATAATCTAAAAGAAAATGGGTAACCAAAAATCTGTTTTATTTGGCTTTCAAATGTGTTATGCTTCAGTTTCTTGATCATACTATGCTAAGGCAACACATATTACATTTGTTTCACATTTCTTGAGTATTTATCAGCAGAGATGGGAGAGTGGAGTGAATATTCTGGGTATCTAATTAGCTGTGGAGGGTCCGTATATTAGATAGTTTGAACAAATCTAACAACTCCTAGCTCAGAGCTGTTTCTCTTAACCATCGTGAGGATTCACAGAACTGTCATTCAGGGAATCTCTCCTCCCTGCCTGGGACCTTAGAGTATTACACATGGACAATTAATAATTGTACTAGCAGTATGTAATTTCCTGTGTTATACACAGGAAAGTGTACACTGTTCCTGTTGTACACAACATTGAATGTATTGTACTCACAGTGATCCCCTGCAATTGCCCTCTCTTCCTTTGTCTGTAAAATGGGGATTAGATTAGATAGATAGCTTCTGAACTGTGAGCTCCTGTTCCATACCAAAATTATCATCCTTTGATTCTGTTTTAACGTTGAGGAATCTCGGCTGGACCATTGCTGTGAATTACTAACCAGCTGGGAAAATATGTAAGACCTTTCCCCCCATCAGACCCAATATCCCAGTGGTTGTCATGAAGGAGTTTGACTAGACCAGACGTTCTTAATCTAAAGTTTGAATACTTAAAAATTGTTTTTGATAACTATATTTCTATTTAATTTGTTTCCTTTTAGTACTACATATTTTATTTTTTAATTTAAAAATATTATTCTGAAAAGAGGTCCATAGGTTTCACCACGACACAGCAAAAGTTAGGAACCGCTGAACTAAATTGCTTTTTATAAGCACTTTCCAATAAGCCTACCTACAACAGATAGGGTTGCCTCGCCTCTGAGGAAAGTTGCGTGGTATCATTCATCCGTGGATGGTATTCAGAAACTAGAGTGGTCCTGTACAACTTGTTCTTTTATGAACTTTTAAAAAATAGAATACAGAGATTTGTGTTTTATACAACAAATAAAAACTACATGTTGGGAGGAATGGGAAAGAGGCTGTTTCTTCCCTGCTGACTGGTATGATGATCCAACCAACATCTGGTGTTAAGTGACTATATTAATGGGGATACATTGATTCCTTTACTGTTGGCTCCATTTTGCTACAGCACCTTTTGATTTTCCATTTAACAAAAGACTTTTCTATGTGTTTTTGTTTACAGACAGCAATATTGAGGCGACAGGGTCGATACGTGTGTTCAACAGTTCCTACAAATGCAGAGAAAGAGGCCCAGAGCTTGTTTGTTACAGAGGTAATGATTTTTAACGTTTCTTCTAAGGAATTCACATGTCTTTGTTGTTTGGGGAATTTTTGATGTTTTTGCCCCTTTTGGCTTCGGCGATTGTTTTCCAAAAATTGACCCAGAAGTAACTGCATTTTCATGGGGAAAAGTTGAATGTGCAGACAAGCACACCCTAGCTCATTCATGGCTTGTTTCCAGAGCTTGAAAAGCTTGCAGAAGGACTTGTCAGCAGTGAATATTTATGACCCCAAAGCGTAGATTCTACACGATTCCTCTAGTGTGACTAGGATGATGAATTAGTTGTGAACTAATATGAGTGGATTGGCTCTTATCCAATCATTATTTAACACAGATATGCAAATAACTTGCCCATTTACCCAGAATGAGTAACCATATAGAACAATTTAACTACCATATTATATCTTAAAAGGAGGATGGGTTGGTATTTTTTTTTAAAAGAGGGTAGGAGGTTCTTTTTTCAAAGTTATCTTTAAGACTAGTTTCATGTGTATGGTATGCCTGCCAGCAATGTGGTAGGTAACAGAAAGAAAGTCATTTCTGGTATAGGCCCTGCTTGGGATGTTTTTATAACTACTGTTGCTGAGAATTACAAATAGACACTATCTTGCTAAGAATGGAACAGCTTGGTTAGTTGTGTTTTAGATTTTGTCAGATGTGATTTTTTTTTTAAACTGAATGTTTTCAATAGAAAAAATACTTAACAAATTATTGTCTTTCTTCCCACACTATACCCCCAAATAGAAACTGGCATAAAAATAAGAATATTCTAATTGCCATATTCCTGATCAATAGATTGTTAGGATATTCTTCATACCAGCAAGCTCTATATACTTTTATGAGTGAAGACCAGCAAGACTGTTGATTATGGTGATAGTTGAAAATTTGGAAAATTATGTTTAAAGTCAGAATTTCATTAAAGCACCCACCTGTTCTTAAAGAAGTTCAAAAGCCCATCAGGATTAAATTAAATAATATTACATAAAGCATTTAGCACAGTGCCTAGTGTGTCATGGGTGCTGTATAAACTCTTATTTGTCCCACCTATCCATAGTCCTGTGCCACAATAATAAAATGACTCCAGTTGAATTCTTCAAGAATCTTCCATGTAGGGGCAGCTAAGTGGCGCAGTGGATAGAACACTGGCCCTGAAGTCAGGAGGATCTGAGTTCAAATCCAGCTGCAGACCAAACACTTGACACTTAATTAAACTAGCTGTGTGTGTGACCCTGGGCGAGTTACTTAACCCCAATTGCCTTTAAAAAGAATCTTCCATGTAAGAATGAATACTTATTTTATTGTACTTAAATAAAACAGTGATCAGCATCATATATTTTTCAAATTATTCAAAAACATGAAATATTAAGAGAAAGTAGACATTTTATACCTTAATTCTGGTATAATAATAACATGGATGGATTTATTCTACTGCTTTTGTAGCCAACATAATGTAACGCCTTGATGATGCTGCCACAAAGGGTGGAGTGAAGAACACTTCCTGTCTGCCTTCTGGCCCCAAAGAGAATGACATAATAGCTGTTTAAAGTTTCAAAGAATATTGAGCATAGCTTCAAAATATTGATGCATCTTGAGCAGAGGAGTGGAAGCTTCAATACAAACCAAATTATTGTTGCCAAACTTTTATTGCTTCATTGATTTACTACTTTTTGATGTCTAATTCTAGATTGAAATGACTGTTTTTTTAAAAAAAATAATTATATCAGATGTGGTTAATTCTTTTTTCATGTGTGGATCATTATAATTTTTAATTTAGTTACCATAGAGATATGATGTTTTCACATTTTTTCCTAATGGCATTTTCATTTGTATGCAAATTCGGAGTACTAGACATCTTATTTGCTTAGGATTTATGCCCCATCTATTTCTCAAAAATGCTTTGAGGCAGCTAGCTCATGCATGTTATATTGAGAGTACTTATAATATTTAAATGTATAGTATGTATTTAAAATGATTAGAAATGCTTTATTCTCTTCTTACAGAATTGAATCAATAGTTTTTTACATTTAATTTTTTTTATTTTTTTCTCAATTACATGTAAACAAAAATTTTTAATACTCTAAAAATTTTGAGTTCCAAATTCTTTTCTTCCCTTCCTTTCCCCGTTCTTGAGAAGGCAAGCAACTTGATATGGATTATACATATACAATCATGTAAAACACTTCTGTATTAGGCATGTTGCAAAAGAAAAAGCAGACCAAAAAAAACAAACCCCAAGAATAATAAAGAAAGTAAAATAGTAAAAAATCTGCATTTAGAGTCCAGCAGTTCTTTCTCTGGATAGCATTTTTTATCATAAGTCTTTTAGATTTTCCTGGATCTTTGAATTTCTGAGAATGCTAAGTCATTCACATCTGATCATTGTACAATATTGCTGTTACCATGTACATTGTTCTCCTGGTTTTGTATCAGTTCACATAAGTCTTTCCAGGTTTTTCTGAAATACATCTGCTTGTCATTTTTATTTTTTATTTTTTGTTTTTTTTTTGGCTAGGCAATGGGGTTAAGTGACTTGCTTAGGGGTCACACAGGTAGTAAGTGTCAGGTGTCTGAGGTCACATTTGAACTCAGGTCCTCCTGACTCTAAGACCGGAACTCTATCCACTGCGCCACCTAGCTGCCCCACTCGTCATTTCTTATAGTCACAATCATATACCACAGCTTGTTCAGCTATTCCCCAATTCGTGGGCATCGCTTCAATTTCCAATTCTTTGCCACCACAAAAAGAGCTGCTATAAATATTTTTGTACATATAGGATGTACATACATCCTTTTTCTTTAATCTCTTTGGGATACAGACCTATTAGTTACTGGGTCAAAGGGTATGCACAGTTTTATAGCTCTTTGCAGAATCATTTTAAAGGAATTTTTCACTACCCCACTATGACTGTGTAGTATACCATTTCATTGTGTAACAAATGTGTCAGTGTATTGCAGAGTGCTGCAGTGACTTTCCCTTGGTTTTAAGAAAAACGGGGCAAAAGATCTCTCCTGTGGCCAGCCAAATGGCTGTTTTTTAGGAACAAATTCTATTCTTGCTTCTGTGTGCTAACAAAGCAGTTAATTGTCACCAGGGTTAGAAGGCTGAGCCTGGAGTCAGGAAGACCTATATTCAAATGCGACTTCAGACCCACTAACTGGGTGACTCTAGACAAGTTACTTAAGCTGTCTTTGCCGCAATTTCCTCAACAGTAAAATTGGGATTATAATAGGCTCTCCTTCCCAAGGTTATTGTGAGGATCAAATAAGATAACATTTGTAAAGCACCTAGTACAGTGCCTGACATATAGTAGGCACTTAATAAATGTTTGTTTCTGCCCATCCCTAAGAAATGGTGAAATTTGGCTCTGGAACGTTTCGTGTGTTTAAATGTAGTCCTTTGTTCTAGATGGGAAATCACTTTGAAAGTTAAATGTATTTATAAATATAAAGCACGTTTTAAAATAATTAGGACTGAATGGACTAGAGGAAGAAAATGAGACCTAATTCTTATGTATTTTTGGGGGCTGTTCATATTTGTTATGAGGGAGGGCTTCTTCTTGGGGTAGATGTTAATGGGCACTGATTTATATAGGCATATATATTTTAAAGAACGTTAATGATTTTATATGAACAGAATGAAAAAAAGTATAGAAGGAAACCTCAATAGAGCAGTTTTGTTGCAACCTTGTTAAATTTTTATATCTTTATATATACTTGTTAAATTTTATATGAACTTCTTAAAAACCAAACTGTAAGTAACAATTCATAGTTTCTTATATAAACTTCTTTTCTTGTTCTTCTTTGTATACTGAAATGTTTGTTTTTACTGATAATTAAATTCATAATTTAAAAAGATAATTAAAAACAAAAAAAACCATATAAGGAATTGTTGAACGCTTTCTAACTCCCCGCTATAATGAGTTCATTTCCTGATTTAGACTGATGCAAAACACCATCCTAAGCTGCCTCCTTTATCTAAGCCTGGCATCCATTTGGCTTAGTTTCCATGGACTTGGGGAATTAGCAAAATGTTGTGGTCTGGAAGGCCAGACTTGGTATTTGAGCCATACTGAGAAGCTCATCCCTGATCTTACTGAGTTCTAGGAATAATTTTAATAGTGAAAGATCCATATTGATATCCAGGAGGGAGATACATTGTGATGAATCTGTTTCTATTAGCCAATAACTGATCAGAAAATGCATGTATACTTTGCGATATTGTTCAAACAAAATGCTGATACTGTATCATACTATTTATCCTGTGTGATTCAAAAATCATTCCTATATGAAGGTCTAATCATGTTGTTTTTTAGGGTGTTAAAAACTCCCCCGTTCTTGGATGGATCTTAATGGAGATTGTGTATGAATTGCTATAGCTGAAGTGATTCAAATGAAATGTATTTAGGTTAGTGCCACTAATAGAAGCCTTGGCATGGAATGGTGTATAAATTTAAGAAAAATGTTTATGAATAAATCATAAGGGTTACTATGAAATGGGATCTGTCTTGCGGCCTTGCCTCATAAGAATCTCACTCTAATAAAAAGAAGGGGAAAAAAAAACCCTAAGTCTTAAGAATGCTGTTAGGAAAAGCTCATTGGGAAGATGGGTAAAAGTGGTGTTTTCATTCATCTTTGATAGCACAGTAATTACAATTAAATATCAATTAACATTTTAAAGTTAAACTGAGCTAAAGTTCTCATTCATTTCCATATTCATGGAGGGTGTTCTATTATTCTTCTAAAGAGCTCAAGTGACAAAGGGAAGAAATAACTATATTTGTATCTAGTTTACAGCAGGGCTGACCATAGGCAGAATTTAAAGTATAGAGTCCTCTGTTTGGCATTTAAAGCTCTTCATAACTTGGCCTCTTGCTACCTTTACAGAATTCTTATACGTTACTTCTTTCAACGCGTTCCATTTTCCATGGTCTACTTGTTCAAGTTGTTTTTAGTTTTCTCTGACTCTTTGTGACTCCATTTGGGGTTTTCTTGGCAAAGATACTGAACTGGTTTGCCATTTCCTTCTCCAGCTCATTTTACAGATGAGGAAACTGAGGCAAAGAGGGTTAAGTGACTTGCCCAGGATCACACAGCTAGTAAGTGTCTGAGGCCAGATTTGAACTCAGGAAGATGAGTCTTCCAGACTCCAGGCCTAGCACTCTATGAACTATAGCACAACCTAGCTGCTGCCCCTTGTAATTCCTCAAATATGACTTTCCATCTCACATTTATGTGCTTTGCATAGGCTGTCCCTCATGGCTGGAATACTCTCCTCCCTCACCTCTGTCTCTTGGTTTCACTGGCTCCCTTTAAGACTCAACTCAAATTCCACCCTCTCCAGGCCTTTCCTAGTTCCCCAAGTGCTAATATCTTCCCCTTTCAGATTACCTTCATCTGCTCTGTCTTATATCTTTTATATTTGATGTATTGTTTCTCCCATTAGAATGGAAACTCCCTGAAGGGAGATACTGTTTTTTGACTTTTCTTGTATTCCTAGCACTTAGACAGTGCCTGATACACAGGAAGAACTCATTAAGTTGTGTTTAACTGATTGACAAGTTAAGCTGATGAAATTTTCCTAGTAGAATTTAATTCCTTTGCCCAAATATAGGGGAAGGTTTTGGTGAGGGGAGGTATAGTACTTGGTACCCCTGAAATCACCACCATTAGGCAGTTAGGTATTTTACCTATGAGTATGGCCTGCCTTGGCTACTGTTTTTAAAGTGACGCCTTTTGCTGTTTATTTCCACCCATATAGTGCATCAAAACCTACAACTCTGACTGGCACGTTGTGAACTATAAATATGAAGACTACTCTGGAGAGTTCCGACAGCTTCCAAAGTAAGTAAATCATATGACATCATATTATGGGATTGATCATGCTGAGTGCACGCTTTGTACTGGAGAGGTACAATTTGCACGTACAAATAAATGTAAAGAGGATATTCCAGTGATTTTAAAAAAGATATATTTGGTTTGGGGTATCTTTGCTTCTGCCTTTGCGAGTCAATAAAGACCTAGATGGAATCCATTAGAGAATTACTAGATTATATTTTAACCTTTACCATTAGTGTTTTCCAAGGCATGCACTAATAATAAACTAATAATAAAAACAGTAACTTGGATGAAATTTATTAGGCAGGAAAGTTAAAGATAGAAGTCTAAGTGTTCAAGAATCTTGGAGGGAATGTTGTCAACTTGGGGCTTTGTAAAAAAGCGTCTGATTTTGTTTGGGCTTTGTGTTTTATTTGAAAAGAGAATCAAAGTCCAAATGTTCTAAGTGCCCTGTGCCCCCATCTTAAAAATTTTAACCCTTCCAAGTTTTTAACAAAGTTGAGTACATTGAAGTTGACTGGTGGCACTTCCAGTGGGTCAATGGCAGATGTTGCCTTCAAGGTTGAGTAAAGGATGCCTACATTGTGTTCATGATGAAAATTGAAGGCAGAATCTTACACTATCTTTTCAAAAAACTGATTCCAGTGAATGAAAAAAAAATTTGCTTGAGCACCTATTCATCTGGTTTACTTTGTGTTGGTTTCATCTGTGAGCCGAGGTAACCTTTTTGTAGTATTCTCAGAGGATGAAGCTGTTTATTTTTTCTATTTGTGTGGTTCAACCACTCCTTAATAATGTCCAGCCAGCTTTCCAATTGCCTCTTTTTTAACCTCAACATAGAACACTCCCTCCAAACATTATCTTTTCCAGATGGTCTTCTCTCTAACTCTACTACAGTTTCAAAATCTTCTACTTGGGGACTTGTCATTCTCTCTGTGTAATTGATTTTCATTGGTCTTCTTTCCCATAAAATCTTTATTGGGAGATAATGTAAGTGGTATCATTAAATATTTTGACCTTTTTCTGTTGCAAGTGGAATTGATCTACAACTACTGGTAACTATCACCCAACCATTGTGATGATAGAGGTGGTAATTAGGTATTTCCAAAATTCAGTGTTTTCTGGTGTGCACATTTCCAGAAACATGAGATTTCTCTCCTGACCCACCCTTAGTTGTAATTGTAGTGTGGATTTAATATTTCATTCATAAATATAGTGAAGATTCATATTTAATACCATAGATTCAAAACCCTACTTGGTCCTTTGTGCTGTGACTTCTATCTTAAATATTTGATGTATAAGATAGGTTTTGGTTATAATAGAAGGCCTTTACTGGCCATTCCAATTCTTAGAGCCTCCGTGTCAAACTAGAACAACAAAACTTGGCCTGCAAACCTGTGAGTGCCATTTCTATATGAGTTTGACACAACAGCTTTAGAAAATTAAGATTTTTTTTCCCTTAAGAGTTGGATAGTGTGGCCTGAAATCTGCTGTTTTGATTGGTGAGTCTCTGTCCTCTGTTTCATGAGGGACCCCAGTCATGTTCAACTCACTGCACTCATTTGTGGACTTTCCCATTTCCTTAACATCAGTCTTGCCCACTATCCTCCCCTCCCCTTGCTTATTACTCTTCATGTGTTGTCTTCTTCTGTTAGAATACAAGCTCTCTGAGGGTAGAGACTATCTTGTTTGCTTGTATTTATATCTTCAGCACTTAGCACAGGGCCTGGAATATAGTAAGCACTTACTTAAAGCATTATCTATCTATCTGTCTTGCTATAAAATGGCTTTATTCTAAGTATAATTTTTTCTTTAAGTGCTTATGTTTGAAAAATGTTTATCTTCGGACTATCAAATGAACAGTTGAAATTCTGGCACCTCCTTCGTCTTTGTTTTTTTCCTATGACCTACTTTTTGGCCAGTTGTTGTTGTTCATTAGCATTCTTAGAATGGGCAATAGATTTTCATGCTCAGAATTAAAGACATATGGAACATTCCATGTTCTCTCGGAGCACACCAGTAAATCCCTGTACTAACTGTCCTCCATGCCTGGGAATGTTCCCTTTCCTCACCTGTACTTCTTGATACCTGTGGCTTCCCCAGAGACTCCACTCAAACACTGCCTTCTACAAGAGGTCTTTCCCAGTCCCTATAGTTGCTGAACCTTTCCCCTTTAATGTTCCATCACAACTACTCTGTTCTCCCATGTGCCAGTTTATATGTATATTGCCTTTCCCATTAGAATATAATCTCCCTGAGAGCAAGGATTGTTTTGATTTTTCTTTATTTCACCAGTACAGTGACTGGCATGTAGCAAATCCTTAATAAACGCTTATTGAGTAGCTGATTGATTGAAATACTTGTATGGATTGATCTCACTGTCCAAGAAAGTCCCCTAAATAGTCTTTATAAATTCCCAGTTTTCCTAGAGCTAAAATAATGGCTGAAGGATGTGACTATTAATAATCCTCATTGACTAGATAATTTATAGATAATAAATGTGTTGATATTTATTATTCATGTTAAAACTTTTTTCTTTTTTTTTAAAGCAAAGTGGCAAAATTGGATAAACTTCCTGTCCATGTTTATGAAGTGGATGAAGAGGCTGACAAAGATGAGGTAGGTTGACTGCAAGTTATTATTCCTCTTTTATCTTAGTCATTAGTAAAAATATTTGTCAAATGGAACCTTTTTTATTTTTATAACAGCTTGAAAAATTAGAAAATCAACCATCTTTCCATAAAATATTATTTGTCGTGTTTCTTTCAAAGGGATAATAGTGGTTCTTGCTTAATTGACAAAATGAATGAAATGAATTTTTCTTTTAAACCTTACTATACTTGTTTATCAGTTTGTTCCCACAGAATTTGAAAGGAATTGACTTACTGGTTCCTAAGGCCTAGATTTAATAGGTATTCCTGCCAGGGTGGTGGCAAGATTTATCAGATTTGATACATTAATAAAATATATCAGCATCTGTACTCTATAACTTTGAATTGAGGTTACTCACCACTATGAAGAAAAATAGCAGAAATTAAATTTCTAGATGGGCCCATCTTCTCTGATTGCACTAAATTAATTCTTCAGTTTATACAGTCACTCCTTTAAAAAAAAATTGGAAGAGATTATACCTTAGGTTGGTAGAAAATATGCAGATATATTAAGGCATTTTTGTTGAGTCATTTTTCAGTCATGTCTGATTCTTTCTTTCTTTCTTTCTTTCTTTATTTTTTGGCTAGGCAGTGGGGTTAAGTGACTTGCCCAGAGTCACACAGCTAGTAAGTGTTATATGTCTGAGGCCAGATTTGAACTCAGGTCTTCCTGAATCCAGGGCCGGTGCTCTATCCACTGCGCCACCTAGCTGCCCCAATGTCTGATTCTTTATAATCCCATTTTGGAGTTTCCTTGGCAAAGATACTGGAATGGTTTGCCATTTCCTTCTCTAGCTCATTTTACAGATGAGGTAACTGAGGCAAATAGAGGTAAGTGACTTGCCCAGGGTCACATAGTAAGTATCTGAGACCAGATTTGAACTCAGGAAGATGAGTCTTTCTGACTCTAGACTAGGCACTGTATGAACTATGCTGCCACCTAGTTGCCCCCTTGTTAAGGCATTAAGAGGAGTAAATTTAACCACATTTTTTAAACCCTAAAACTGTTATCTTACCTAGTATTTCCCAAATTTTCCTACTCATTTGGGATGTCAGCTGTTCCATTTGGAGCTGAGATGCTTTTCAGCGCTGTCAGATTAGTTATAACTATCAACCATTCACTAACAAACTTTAAAAATATCCTCTGGTAACATATTCTCCCAGCATATTGTATTAAGAGCTGACTTTGCATCCACATACCTTTTTACATAATTTTGGAAAACATAGAGATATTATGTATATGAACTTTATGGTATAAGATACTTGTCAAATTTAATATTTACAAACTAGTATTAAGTTGAAAAGGTTCACAGGCAAGACTTAGATTTGTTTTCCTCAAATGTCATTTGAATTTTTAAAAAAATAAAGCACATACCTAGTGAGATTTAGGACCTAGATTGGTGTGAGACAATTGGAATCAAATCTTATTGTGGGTTCCTATCATTTATCCTCACTTTAAACTAAAAACAGGTGAAAATGAAAATCAGATATAATCTTGGGATGGAAAAGAAGTCCCAGAAAGTCAATTTGAATGTGTTTGTGTGTGTGTGTGTGTGTGTCTAAGTAGGGAGGCCAACTAGCTGATTGTAGATTATAAGCCTCAAGGATTTTTTTTTAGCACCAGCTAGTTAGGGCATCTCCTCCCCGTGGCAGCTTCTCATTTGATAGCAACAAAACCCTGATGTGGATGGAGGGCTCATGGTCAAGGGAAATGAGCCCTGGCCCAGGAGTTAGAAGACCTGGGTCCAAATCACACCTCATGCTTTCTTCCTGTGTAATTTTGGGTGAATCACTTCACTTTTCACTTTCCTCATCTGTGAATTGTGAACATTGGACCAGGTGCCCCCTGAGAACCCTTTTCAGGTCTATAGCTGTGATTCTGTGAAACAGTAATCAGTAGAGAAGAGTGTTTCTGTGTTCTACTTACTAATTTGCCTTTTGTTGCTTTACTTTTTCTAACTCTTTTTCCTCTAATCCTTTTTTAAAAATCCTTTGTCTTTTCCCCTCTTTTCCTTCCTTCTTATTCCAAACTGAACCCACAATTTTCTCCATGCTTTCTCAGTTTCTTTGCTTTCACTCCCTTTCTTTACCTTTCCCTGAACCAAGCCTCTGGGAAGTCTTCCAAGAATTTGATGTTGTCCTCTTACCATGTGGGAGTGTAATCTGAAAACATTTTCCATGAAACTGGGCGTGAGCTCACAATTTGAGTGGTCAAGCATGGCATGTACTTTCATGCAGTTCATTAAAAACTTGGTTTTAAGAAACTATATTGTATGTCTGCTGTGCTTCTAGGTGTTAGTGGTGGTTTTGGAAATTTAGGATTCTTCTTCTAATTTTCAAATGAATGTTCTGATAGAAAGGACAGTAGACCTTAATGCTCAGTATTAGATTATAATAAGTATGTTCATTGACATAAGGATGCATATTCCTCCAAAGTGACACAAAGGAGATTTGAGAAATATGAGTAGTATGCCAGTTGACCAAAGTTTCTAGATATAGCTGAGAATAAAGAATTATCAGTATTTTCCCTTCTTCTAGGATGCTGCATCCCTTGGATCTCAGAAAGGTGGCATAACCAAGCATGGATGGCTATACAAAGGCAATATGAACAGTGCCATAAGTGTGACCATGAGGGTAAGGCAGTGTGTTATCCTGAAATCATTTTATCCTTTGATCGCAATGCTAGAAATGAATGGTGACACTGGATTTTATATATAAAATAGGTAGCATTGATTCTGTCAACCAGTCATACTTACTTTTTCCTAGCTCACCCTGATCATTTATATACCCGGAACAGTCGGGTGATGTCTAAGAGAGCTGGGGCTTCCTTCTCTGTCATGGAACAAATCATTACTACCTATGCAGTATCACTTATGGAATGTAAATTTCTTGAGCTAAATTCAGCTTCTCCCATGACTGAAATAATGACCGCTAATTGAGTACAACACTGAAAGAAAAAAAATGTGTTAATGTCATGAATGTATAAAGAAAGTAATTATAAAGAGAAGCCACGAGCGAAACATTAGTACAGAGAATACAAAGGCTGAATAAAGGTCAAAATTAATAATTAGGTAGATATAGAAGAAGTAAGAATAGTAGGAAAATGGAAAAGAAAAAAGTAAGTGTATAGAAAAGAATAGAAATGTTGTGGTTACTCTCATGCTGGAAAGGCAATGAGAAATGTGATAAAGCGTGCCGTTCTAGTGGTTTAAAAAAAAGTTACCTGGATTTTAATTACTTCCATTCCTTCCAAAATGGAATTTATACCATTACTGCTTGATAGTAATATTACATCATATTTCTATTCCCTAAATGAGGGAGGTAATTATTAGAGATTAAATTGATTAAGAGAATTAACTCGCTCTCTGTATCTCTGTATGAATAAGATAGCTCATTCTAAAATCTGGGAATGTTTACTTCAGTCTCGTCGGTTTTGGAGCTCTCTAAAAGAATAATTGTATATTTTTATAGTTTTAGTTATTTGTACAATTAATGAGATCTTTGTTTTATTTTGAAATGATGGCAACAAAATTATTTTTTTTCTCTTAGTCATTTAAGAGACGATTTTTCCATTTGATTCAACTTGGTGATGGATCCTATAATTTGAATTTCTACAAAGATGAAAAAATTTCCAAGGAGCCAAAAGGATCGATATTTTTGGATTCTTGTATGGGTGTAGTTCAGGTAAATTTGGAATAATTTCATTATCAGGTTTTGTTGTTGTTGTTATTAAATTGTAAGTGTGATAAAACAATTTTAAAATGGGCATAATTACACCAGAAAAGTTGTATACAAGCATTCGTTTAAAAATCATTGAACAACTATTATGTTCAGATTTTACTAAGGAACACAATGAGTCTAAGATATGGTCCCTACCCTCAAGGAGCTTAGAGTCTAATGGGGGAGATAAGACAAATAAACAAGTAACTATGTAATCCAAGGCTGAAATGTCCTAAGGGCCTTAAGAGAGATACAAAGCCAATTATGTGGCAGGTTTTTCTTTTTCTAAACTGAAGGAAGTTTATTTAGCCATAATGTGGAAAGAATACTCAGCAAGGATACAGCACCAATTCATTTGAGCATCGCTGGCCTCTCTGCCTGGGCCACATGCTACTGTAGCCTCAGGGACAGCTGTCCTACCATCTCGTGATTGAATTTAAAGTCTGGAAAGTATACTTCCAGTGGATTACTTAAACTGAGTTGAAGTAAAAGGGGAAAGAAAAGGGAATAAACATTTTTTAAGTGCCTACTATGTGTCAGGAACTGTGTGCAAACATTATCTTTTTTGATTCTCAGAACAACCCTTTCGGTTTCAGGAGCTATGATTAAGCCTGCGAGGTATGATCAAGTATTATTCCCATTTTGCACTTAATGAAATTGAGGCAGATGGAGATCAAGTGACTTGTTCAGAGTCATACACACACACACACACACACACACACACACACACACACTCAGAAAGTATCAGAAACTGGATTTGAACTCAGGTTTTCATGACTTCCATGATGCTTTGTCCACTGTGCCATCTAGGTGCTTAAACCTAAACTTGGCGTAGTATACCATTTTAAGATTTAGAAAGATAGATTGTATAATTTACTCCCAGTTTTACAATTGGGGAGGTAAGCCTAGAGAGATGAAGAAACTTCCTGATGTATTTCAGATCAGATAGATAGTAGCAGAAAGAGGACTTTTAAGTTTTGTTCATGTATATATGTGTAAATGTGTGTGTGTGTGTGTATACCCATATGTATGTGTATTCTCTTATAGATTCCAGTACAGATTATTAAAGGAGGGACGGTTTATTTATATGCTCTTTGGGGTTGTTTTGGTTTTGGAAGGGGCTTTAGGGTTGTTTTGGAAAGCAGGTAAAATTTCTGGTGGTTTTGCATGTATTTTGCCCCATTTCTTTGTCAGGCCTTACAGGAAAATATGGATTCATCCTTCTCACTAGCTTCTCCCAAAAGGCCAGAGTGATATCAGTATCATTTCAGTTCATCTCCTTAGGTTCTAGCCTGCCATATTCCTACACATAAGGAGTGTGAGCAGAGCCTCTGCCTGTCTATGCATGCTTTAGTTAAAGTTGGAAGTGATTTTTGGAGATCATTCATCTCATTCCTTTCATTATTCTGATGGAGACTCTTAGGCACCAAGAAGAGCTAGTTGGTAGCCAGGATTCGATCCTGGGTCTCTTGACTTCTAGTGAAGTGCTCTTCATATCACACCATGCTACCTTTGCATGGGGCTATTCAACAAGGATACTATCACCCACCGGTCTTTAATGGGCATCTGTATATGGGCATCTTCATTTTCAGTGCCCACATGTGTGGTTGGGCTACCTGATCTAGTGTGTAGCACCATGTCATGGATAATAAGAGTTTTTTTTTTTTAATGAGCTCTATGTAAGTATCTCCCGTTGACTGCAATACCCTAGGAAGAAGTTGCCTCTGTTAATTTTTGCAATAAAGAAGCCTGGAGTTATCGACAGCATTGATGGAGAACTTTAATGGTAGTTGCCTGGCTTTCGTAGCTGAGCACAGCATCTTGTGTGGGATTCCTTTAGTTGGTGATTCAATCGAGCTCAGTTCTGGAAACCTTTCTGGCTACTTTGAGTTGACCTTTACAATGCTAGCGTTAAAAAAAAAGTTTGAAGCAAAACACATGTTATTGTGTGTGGTATTTGGCAAGACAGCTTTTGCAGCCATAAGTAATAAGAGCCAGAAAAACAACAACAATCTGGCTCATTTATTATATTATGTGAGAACCTTTGCTATGTGTGCAGCACAATATGTAGATATTCTGTTGGACTGTGGAATTAGAGAGATCTTTAGTACATGTATTTCAGAGTCTAAGTAGCCATTTTTAAGGGAAGACTCTTCCTTCATACTCCTTTGAAATAAAGACATGGCAGAGTAGTGTGGGAGTATGTTTATTTGCTTTGATAAGTTGCATCAGGCTTTGGAAAATTATTAAAATAATTTATGCTTTTCTTTCTTTCTTTTTTTTTTTTTTTTTGCTTTTTTTTTGGTGAGGCAATTGGGGTCAAGTGACTTGCCCAGGGTCACACAACTAGTAAGTGTTAAGTGTCTAAGGCTGGATTTGAAGTCAGGTCCTCCTGACTCCAAGGCCAGAGCTCTTTTCACTGTGCCACCTCACTGCCCCTATGCTTTTCTTAAAGATACAGTTATTCAATGTCTTGCATAAGACTAATTGGCTTTCTAAAACTCCTTGAGAGTAATCAATAGAATCCACGTGCTTATCAGATTTTGTTAGCATTTGCTTATTTTCTACCCCACATGATAAGATGTATTATGTTTCTTTTAGAATAGGGGTTCTTTATCTTTTTTTTGTGTCAGTGGTCTCCTTTGGTCTCTTGAAACCTGTGACCCAGTTCTCAGACTATGTTTTTAAATAATTGAGGAAAATGCTTATTCTTAGTTAGGAGTTAGTGAAAATAAAGATGTAATTTTTTTTTTCCATCCAAGTATCTGAACCTCCTGGAAGTCTATCCATGAACTCTAAGTTAAAATCCCTTGTTTTAGAATCACAGAATCTCTGAGGTAGAAGGTAACTATTAATTATCATCTTTAGTTCTTTTTTTTTTTTTTTTGGTGAGGCAATCGAGGTTAAGTGACTTGCCCAGGGTCACATAGCTAGTTAAGTGGTAGGTAAGTATCTGAGGCTGGATTTGAACTCAGGTCCTCCTGATTCCAAGACCAGAGCTCTGTTCACTGCGCCACCTATAGCTGCCCCTATTAGTTCTCCTCTGTCATTTTATGAATGAGAAAATTGAGACTTGGTGATTTTCTCAGTTTCACATAGCTGGTTCAAAAATTGTCCTTTGTAAAGCTTTGTTTTCTATCAGGTCCCCTGGGCACTTTTTAGATTGGTCCAAGTGAAATTATTCTTTAGAAATGCCTTCCTGTCTCTTTGAGGAACAATTCCCAACTGTTGGTCTATATTGTTATGTAGGTGAAATGCCCAAATTCTAAAATGATATTTAGGAAAGAGTATATTGCTCTTGAGAAGCAACTTTAAAAAAAAAACACAAATTAATTTAATTTTAAAAAGGAACAAAAATCAATTTGCTCTCCCTTCTACCTCTCTCTGTCCCTCAAGGAGAGAAATCAACCTTCCACCCCCTCACGCACAACAATACCCTTGTAACATTTAAGCATAGGCAAGGAAAACAAATTCCCAAATTTGCCAGGTTCAAAAAGTAGATTGAGGCCTCAGACACATAATACTTTCTAGCTGTGTGACTCTGGGCAAGTCACTTAACCCCAATTGCCTCACAAAACATTAATAAAAATAATAAATAAAAGATTGATTATTAGCATTAAAAAAAGAGTATAGAAGTTACTTAAGAACCTTCCCTCCCCCTGAAATTCCATTAAGAAGCATTTTTTAGAAAATAAACTTAAAACAGATCAAATATTCTCACTTTTCAGAATTTAAGGAAATCATAACATTTCTTCTGATTAGACTCTGTAGAAATAACAGTTGTTTTTTAAAATTATTATAAGTAGGTTATTAATTTGAAGATAAAATATAAAATATTCATGTTTTCATATTATGTGTCAACTACATTGAACTAGCCCATGGATTAGTTTCTTTTAAAACCCCCCCTTTTTTAAAAGAAATATTTGTCTAAATCTTTAACTGTTGTTTAGACATGGCCTGTCAAGAGCATTTGTGCTTATAATTGTGTTTATCTTTGGACTGTTTAGTCAGGAAGCCTGTTCTGTCATTATTCATTGCTAAGACAGGAAACCAATAAATGATCTTCCTTTAACAAGTATTAGGTGCCATTGATGCTGATATGCATCTTGCATGTTTCTGTAACTGAGCATTCATAGAAAAAATATTTATTCTTTTTAAAAAATTTTTATTAATTTATTTTGATTTCTCAACAATCACTTCCATATGCTTTTGAGTTTAAAATTTTTCTCCCCCTTCCTCCCCACCACCCTCCCCAAAATGGTACACAGTCTGATAAAGGCTATACATACACATTCCTATTAAACATAAAAAATACTTATTCTTCCAAGAAATATGTGGGTACACAGATAAGCAAGGATTTTCAAAATAATAGTTGAATTTAATTCAATAAATTTACTTTGACCAACATTTATTAAATGCTTGCTATGAAATTAATTGAAGATTTATAAAGCATCTGGGGTGTATGGGTATTCAAGGAGGAAAAACACCACTGGTGTGAGGGCTTGCTGAGCCCTTTTCAGGGCTACTCATCCACTTTTGGTGTCCATCTGACGCTCAACTCTAACTTGTGGCTCCAAGAAGCTATGGTATGCCCAGTAGGTACACTCTAGTAGAACATATCTACAGACAAGTTAAACCAGACTGAGGGCCACAAACCCATTGGTGAGTTAGGGGGCTGTCTACCCAAGCATGTTCCAATGACCATGAGTGCAACCGAAACAGGTGCTGTGGTGCACTTAGAACTTGGTTAGATATTGAAGATGCCATGGTCATCCATTGCATACTGGGTCATTACCAGTTGTCCTGACTTTTGTCTTGCCACTAGACTTCGATGACTCTGGAACAGCAAGTGAGGCCAGTGATTTTGTGCAACTCTGCCTCACTTCAATTCACCCATGCATCAAGATATCACCCTGTAATGTCATTGGTCCTTTTCAAAAATGAAGGAAAAACAACAATAAAGCATCTGCTGTATGCAGGGCACCATGGTTGTTGATGGGGATGTCAAGGTGGAAAATGTCTTCACCTGCAAAGATTTCAGTGTCAGATGGGAGACGGAGATAGGGATGGCACAAGATAGAGGCCAAAGGAGAAGTTCAGAAAATAGTATATTTAGTATATTAAAATAGATATTATTATGGTATTTATTATTATTGTATTACAGTATACTTATAATATTTAATATACTTGTAATAAATTTGGGAAGGGAAATGAAATGAGAGAAAACACTTGAACTTGATCTTTACAGTCAGCTTATGCAAATGAGTGGGAGTGGAAGAAGCCGGAATGAAATCAAGGCGCAGTACATTGGCTGCATCCGGTGTGACTGGACGTAGAGTGTAGGAGGAAAAGTAGAGTAGAATCAGGAAGGAGAGACAGGTAAGAGTCAGACTGTGGAGGTCTTTTAGAAGCCAAACTAAGGAATTTATATTTTGTCCTATATGTACAGGGAAATGAGCAGGTCGTTTACATGGCCAGACCTTCACAGAGACTATCTTTACCTTCCTTTGTGTCCCCAGAGGGTTTAGCACAATGTTTGGCATGTAGTAAGCACAGTCAATACTTGTTGGTGGATGAATGGCTAGATTGAGTGATTGGTCAGAAAGATAATGGAGACAGGAAACTGTTATAATAGTATAGATGAGAGCTAATGAGGGCCTGAACTTGGATAGTGACAGAGAGCATGGAGAAGAGAAGGTGAAGGAGACAAAAACCATGGAGACTGAATTGATAAAACTTCTCAACTCATTGAGTTTGAGGAGCTAGGGAAGAGTCAAAAGGTGATTCTAAGGTTTCTGATTCTAGGTGATTACGGATGATGGTATCATCACACAAAATAGGAAAGTTGAGAAGAGAAGCATGTTTTTTTTTCCTATCAAAATAGCTGGGGGTAGTTAATTAATTCAGAATTGGAAATGTTGATGCATTTGAGGTGCTGATATGATATCCAGATAAAATACCTGTCAGGCAGTTGGAGAGGTGGGACTAGAATCAAGGTGAGAGATTGGGCTAGATATATTGTTTTTCTGGTCATCTGCCTAAAGGTGATAATTGAAATCATGGGAGTAGATGAGATCACTCATGCAGAAACTATTTATATGAAGTGAAGAGGGCTAAAGATACAGAACCTTGGGGAACATCCATATTTAAAGGGTGAAAAGGTGAAGATAAAGAGGTAATCACAGGATCGTAAGTTCTGCATGTGTATGGGGGAAGACCTTGGAGACCATTGGGTCCAACCCCCTTATTTTACATATGGGTAAAGTAAGGCTAAATTTGAGAGCAGGATAGTCTGCTCTTCAGAGTATATTTTTTGTACAATTACAAACTATATTCATATTTGTTCATCATATTTGCATTCTTCGGGGACAGGATGAATAAGTGAATTTGCCCCACTGGAAAAAAATCTCTAGCTGGTAGGGGGACTAAACGATTTGAATGCCCCAGGATATTTTTATTTAGGTCTCTGAAAGAGAAGTATTCCTACTCCAAGAAGAATGGCATATTTAGTGAAATGTATAAGCAGGATGATAAAGCAATAAAGTCTTATTTTATATATTTAGCAAATGGATGAATGAGACTTAAGCCCCTGTGTCTTACATTGAAGTAAACAAAATTCAGCATTTTAAATTCAAATTTATGTACCCTATCTCTTAGATTTTTTTCACTTTCTACATATGACAGCATGTTTCTAAATATTAAGTTAGGCATGTTGCAGGAATATGCTTATTTACCACTTCATACCATTTGTTTTCCTTCCTTCTTCCTTCCCTTTCTTTTTTCTTCCTTCCTTCCTTCTTTCTTTCTTCCACTTTTTCCCATTTTTCTTCTGACTCATTTCCTATCAGCACTTACACTTTTTTTAAGTTAGCAATTTTGAAACTCATTATAGCATAATGGTTTACATAAGATACTTTGTATAAAGGAAGGATAGATTAACTTGATAAGATTAAAGAAATACCTACTTTACTGTTCTTATCAGATACCTAAAAACAACATGGAGCGTTAAGTTAAAGCATAAGAGATTTTAGAGATTGATTTAATTCCTTCACTTTTATTTGTAAGCCCAAGTCCAAAGTCATACAAGTTAGTGGGAGAAATGAAACTAGAATCCTTGTCTCATGATTCACATTATAGTGTTTTTTACATGATATCACACTTTTTCTTACCTTTTTCTTACCTTTGTGTTAGATTTCCATGAACATTTTCTAGTATATGCCAAGTATTTTCGCCTTTGAGATCTTTAAGACTGTTAGAATATTTAATTGCATAATTGGCTAGCATTCCCTTTCCTGTTCCATGAGGCACCCCCACATACCCTGCAGAACAGTGGAGAAGGAAAAACAAACAAACAGACCCAACAACAACAAAAAAAACCTCCTCCACCTCTGACTTCCTGCCTCCTTTCCTGTCTCCCTTCTGGAGGTACAGCTTAGTTCTGGTTTGAGCCAGAAATCCGTGATCTGCACTCTGCTTAGCTTGTGCTCACAGGAAGCCCCATGTCATCTCCTCTTTTTATGGGGGGGGAGTTCAGACCTATAATTTCATATATGATACTATATTGACCTATCGTGCAGAGAACTCCCTTCACTGAAGCATATCAACAACTCATTCATAACTTAGAGTCTTAGAAATTGCTGAAGACCTTGAGATGTTAAACAACTTGTCCATATATATCAGAGGCAGGACTTTGTGCCTCCAAGGATGCCCTGTGTCCTTATATCACACTGTTTGTCACTGTCCTTTTAATTTACTGTATTGTGAGTTTTCACTTTTTTCCTCTTTGGGTAAATATATTAACATTTTTATGCTATCAGTCAGGTATAGAGTCTAGAAGTGGATAGGCATAAGTAAGAGAGTCAGGAGACTGGGCAAATAAGTGTTCCAGGCGTCTTGTAGTAGAATGTTTGTTAGGACCTGCCTGGTTAAGTATTCAGGCTGTAATGTTTGGTTTTAGAAATGGCATATAAATTCCTTTTTGGATATAGGGGTACAGACTATACCTGTGATTTCTTTGGTATAGACAACTGGTGGTTGAGGAAACTCTCTAACCAATACGGGTTGGGACTTTCTGGGTAACTCTTTGAAAGCCGCCTATATCTCTGAGAAGTGAGGTGACTTTCCAAGGTCAAACAGCTGGTTTGTGTCGGAATTTCTTGGTCCTGAGTCCCAGCTCTCTATCTATTACGCTATGCCACTTCTCTTTTACATATAAATTGTAATAAATTTGAAGTACAATTAAGGTAATTTGAAAAATATTCTCTGGTACACCGTCTCGGGGCAGAGGGGGAAGAAGTGAGAAAATTTAAAACTCAAAATCTTTTGGAAATGAATTTTAAAAACTAAAAATAAATTAATTAATTAAAAAAAGATTCTCTGGTCAACAAATTTTCTCAGTATTAAAGAAAAACGAATCCTTGGGAATTCCTGAGTGGTAAAAATATGGTACATTCCTTTTTTTCCATTTAGAACAACAAAGTCCGGCGCTTTGCTTTCGAGCTCAAGATGCAGGATAAGAGTAGTTATCTTTTGGCAGCAGATAGTGAGTTGGAAATGGAAGAGTGGATTACAACACTCAATAAAATTCTGCAACTCAATTTTGAAGCGGCGATGCAAGAAAAACGTAACGGAGAAGCTCATGAGGGTAAGTTGTTCAAGCCTGACTTAGTGATACTGTTAATAGTATGTGATATGTAGTTTTGGGATCGTTAGATTATAAGCCCCTTGAGGGCAGGAACTGTCTTTTTGTATCCCCAGTTCTCAGCACACAGTAGGTACTTAATAAATGTTTATTGATTAATTGGTAATTGAAAGACTTTTCTTGTCCCTTCCTTCTCCTATCCTGCCCCATTCCTTTCTCTTTCTTATACCTGCCACCCGCCTCCCTCCATGCCAGTGCTTTTCCTTTGAGATTACCTTCTATCTACTCTTTGAGGGCAGGGACCCTGTTTTTGCTTTTCTTTGTATCCCTAGGGTTTACTACAGTGCCTGGTATATAATAAGCACTTCATAATTACTTGTTGGTTAACTGACTGATTCTTTAGGGGTCGATAGTGGAGAAGAAAGTAGAACCTAGAGAAAAGACCTACCAGTCCTTCATTCCATTAATGTAATAAAATGTTGCATAGGACCTCTCTTGACAATGAAAGAAAATGATAAGTTGCTTCAGCAGCATTTTTTTTAAATAGGAGAAATTAGCTCTCTTAGGTATTTTCAAGTCAGGCAAATGATCTCTGCAGAGTTTGCTTGGAAGGGTGGATCAGACTAAACTGGTGGGTGAAAGCCGTGCTTTGTTACTCCCAATTGATGCCATGTCTAAATCCAACAGAGTGTGGAGAAAAGAAATTGCCTTCATGTCCCTATGTAAAATAAAGCATTTTTAATTACCAGTGACTGAGATGATCTGTTTTGAATTGTAGATGACGAACAAAGCAAATCGGAAAGCTCTTCCTCCGGTTTAGATAGTTACCTGCCTGAACTTGCCAAGGTAATCGTTCTTTAAAGCTTCTGGTATCGGTGGGATGAAATTAAAACATTGCTCTTATTTGTTGTATTGTTGGAAACTAGAATTATACCTGCTGGACGTATTGGCAATTAGTTTTCTCTATGACTTATGTTTATTTCTTCATTTAAAAGTGAATGATATGAGCTGCAATGTTGTTAGATCGAAAAAAAAACAATTTTTTTTTGAGTGTGACTTCAGTTTATTTTGCCAGTGACACTAAACAGATACTCGGTGGCATTATAGCTTTTTTAAAAAATTATACTTCAAGTCATTGAATACCGTTTCGCGAAAGCTAGCAGAACAACCAAGACCCTGATGAATTTTTTTTTCCCACATGATTATAGTGATTTGCATTTCTCAGGTCTGTCGGTGCTTTCCTCCTCCATGAATAGGCCTGCCTTCATTGGAGATAATTTCTTCATTTAAGCAAAAGGAACTAAGGTCTAGGTTTGGGAGTGAGGACTGTTGATCAATATCTCATGTCCTGGGCCACAACAATGCTCTGCCTAGTGTTTGCTCAAGACAGAAGTGTTTGCTTGACTGTATATGTTTATAACAGGTTGATTTTCTTGCTTCCTTGCAGGGGGGTGGGGGTGGGGTGAAGGATGCAGATCTGAAAATAAAATAAAATTGAATTTTTAAAAAAAGAAAAAAAAGAAATAGAAAGGTAGATCAATGGAATAGAGTAGACATACATTTTTACAGAAACAAATAAATATAATTACCTTGTAAAAAAAAAAGATAGAAGTGTTTGCTGATTCTTTTAAACTTTTTGATGAGGAAGGAAAGAAAAGAAAATTATCTTTGTCTTACTTGCTCTACATGGTCTCGGTCTCTCTCTCTCTCTCTCTCTCTCTCTCTCTCTCTCTCTCTCTCTCTACCTTTCAATTTTTTTTTTTTTTTTTGGAGTGGGGAGGAAGGTTCACATTAGGAACTAAGTTTTGACCCTGAATACTCCTTCCAGATTACCATTTAATTTTGGTGCTGCTAACTTACTTAGTGGGGGTGCTGTGGATAGAGTGCCTGACCTGAAGTCAGGAAGACTCATCTTCCTGAGTTGAGTTCAGATCTGGTCTTAGAGACTTACTTGCTGTGTGATCCTAGGCAAGTCACTTAACCCTCTTTTCCTTAGTTTCCTCATCTGTAAGATGAGCTGGAGAAGGAAATGGCAAACCACTTCAGTATCTTTGCCTAGAGAACTACAAATGGGGTCGTGAAGAGGCAGTCATGGCTGAACAACAACATACCTGATAGATTGTAATTGATTTACAAAAATAAAAATCCACTGTGCTGGCATTGAACTTTGACCTTCATTTTAAAACAAAGCTACTTTTCTTAAATACCAACTTTCCTCCTACAGTGAGAATTTAGGTACCTAAATTTCTTTAGGGTTTGGAAGTAACCACAGTGTCTTTTTTAGCACCTACCTATTAAAGCTAATTTTAGTATCACCATTGTTAGTTCCTGTTTCCATGAAGTTTAGGTCAGGAGATGTTTTGGCTCCTTAGTCTAGGTTTCTATCTTTGTATTTTAAGAGTTATTCGATGCTTTTTTTCTTTTCCTTTTTATCACTAAGAGCTACTTTACCGTTGCTATATGTTACTATTTTTTGAAAAATCATGAGTGCTTTTAAACTTTTCATGACATGTTCTTAGCTTACTGAAATATATCTTTATGGGAGTGGAATCCAGAAAATAATTGTGTAAAATTTAGTCTATGAACCAGCTCGTTGCCACCAACTAGAAAGAGTCCTCTTTTAAGGCCAAATGTTAAATAGCTTTCAGCTGCTAAATAGTGAAATAGTGTCTAGTTGCTACTTATTAGAAAGAGTTTTATTTTAAGCCTAAATGTTTCCAGCTCTAACAAACTCCCCTGAGGCCTTGAATTTTTCAACCAAGATTCTTTCCATTGCCACATATTAAAAGAAAACTGCATCTTTCAGGAAGACATGACATCCCTAGCAAGCCTTTCACACTTTCCCTGACTTACAAGGCCAGTAGGAAAGTGGTCTTAATCCAGTTTCCAGACCATTCCTCTACCATCATTCCTTAATGACCTCTCCTCTTTTGAGAGCTATGTGGTACAGTCTTGTCACTGTCATCTGTAGACCCCTTAATTTTTCTCCAAGCTTTCATAATCACTTTTATACCTAGATCATGTCTTTCCTTTCCACTTGGTGGCCATAATCATTGAGGACTCCAATATTATATTATTGAACCCTCTAGCAACAGAATCAGATAAATTCTTCTGTCTTCTCCATCCTGATGACCTTCTTTACCCGATTTAAGCCATATGTCAATGTGGCTTTGCCACAGAGCTCATCATCCCTCAGATTTGGACTCCTTCCAAGATTCAGAACTTTGAATTTATGATCTCCGACCAGAGCCTTCTGTCCTTTTACCCCTCCCATTCTCAATCACACAAAATCTACTCTTCACCCTTTTTACAGAACTCCAGCCTCCTTAACTCATTTCTAAGCCATTGTCCACTCTAGTTTTACATGTCTACTTCCTCAGGCTTGATCTCATAGTTTGCTATTTTAATGTTTTATTAGTTACTACCTTAGAATTCTTGGCTTCCCTGAACTGCTCATGTTCTCTTGTTCCCATCCCTTGATGTGCCTGCTTGCTCCAGGCCTATAAATGAGGATGCTGATGCTGATAATGATGATAAAATAGCTAACCTTTATTTAGAACTTTAAGGTTGGCAAAGCCCATTTCATTCATCCAGAGTAATTGAACATAGTCATAAAATTGAACTAATCTTACCCATTACAAATTCATGGCATTATCTTGATCCTCTCTACTGCTTGACAGTCCTCTTATTTTTCCCTTATTGATCTCTCTCATCTACCAAGCATATATTCCAAAACATTTTTTTCCTGCTCCCATTTCCAAACCCCTCATTTTAAAAAAAATGATGACCTAGATTCCTCTTTAGAGAGAGACCATCAGAAAATAGCTTCTCCCAGTTATCCTCCTATATTTTTTAAACTGGTCAGTATCATTATATACTCTCCTCTTTTTCTGCCACACTGTAGGCACTTAATAAATGTTTATTAATTGATTAATCAACTGGTCACAGAAGAGATTTCCTTAGTCCTCACTAATGCCAACCATTCTGACTGATCTCATTGTCTCTGCCTCTCCTAGGACCCTTGATCCACCTGTCATTCCCTGTCTCTAGCGTGAGTTTTCGGTATTCCCTTCTCTACTGGTCCCTTCCCATCAACCCTACAAACATATTCAGGTCTCTCTAAACCAAAGGAAATCTTTGCTTTGACTCCTCTATTCTTTTTTTTTCCTATTTAGTAAATAGTATTTTATTTTTTCCACGTACATGTAAAGATAGTTTTCAACATTAATTTTTATGAGGTTTTGAGTTCCAAATTTTTTTCCTCCCTTCCATCCCCCTCCCCAAAATGGCAATCAATCTGATACAGGTTATACATGTGCAATCATGTTAAACATATTTCCACATTAGTCATGTTGTGAAAGAAGGTACAGAACAAAAGGGAAAACCCTCAAAAAACAACAAAAAAGTGAAAATAGTATGCTTTAATCTGCATTCAGACTCCATAGTTCTTTCTCTGGATGTGTATAGCATTTTCCATCATGTGACTCCTCTATTCCACTTAATTATTGCTCCATCTCTCACCTCTTGACCGCTAGACTTCTGCATAGCTTACATTTATATAGTGTCTTAAAGTACTTTATGTATGCTATATATGTGTTTGATCCTCACAAGAAACCCTGGGAGGCAGGTGCTATCATTATGCCCATTTTACAGAAGAGGAAACTGAGACCCAGATTAAGCAACTTATCCAGGGTCACACAACTAGTAAGTATCTGAGGCGGGATTTGAACTCAGGTTTTCCAGACTTCAAGTCCCAGCACTGTTGGTACTAAGCCATCTAGGTGCCTCTGTGTCTTCACTGTCCACTCTTTCCTCTAGCTTCTTGTGGTTACATTTGGATTTGTATAAATCAATAAATCTGAAACTACCAAACTGGTATTTGATATTATCCAGGTCAGGATATTATTTTACTTTAACCAGGTATACAGTATAGCTCCTCTGAGCTAGGAGAGTTCAGTACTTTATAACTCTTATACACTTATAAAATGCTACTCTTTGCACATTAATTTAAGTGTGTATGACATCTTCCCAACTAGATCATAAACTCCCTGAGAGTAGGGATTTTAAGAAAATTTTAAGAAAAAATTTTAGTTTGTACCTTGCAAACAGCAAAGTAAAATGAGCATTTCAATATGCACAGAACAGAAAAAGAGGGTTGTGCATGAAACTGTGATTCTCTGTAATGTTCAGCTCACTTTCTTTTAAACTATATAAGTACAACATGTGACTTTCAAACCTGTCCTGCTTGTCTATGCTTCTTCCTAACCTTCCTTCTGTTGTTGTTGGGTTTTTTTTTTCTGTGCATCTAAAATTGTTTAAGTTACTATCTTTTATTAAACCTTTTTTTGGGATTACCTAGTTCCCTCTCCCTTCCATCCCCACTCCTAAATTAAAAAGAAGAAATAAAAGAAAAACAAAACTTTGTTACATACACAAAGTTAAGCAAAACAAATCCATATATTGGCTATGTCTGAAGCTTTACATCTTGAATTGATGACCACTCTGTCACGAGTTGGAAAGCATACTTCTTTACCCATCCTTTTGAATTGTGGTGGGTCTTTGAATTGATCAGTTCTAAATTCATTCAAAGTTGTTTCACTTTACAGTATTGTTGTTATTGTGTAAATTGTTCTCCTGGTTTTGTTCACTTCACTTTGCATCATTTCATACAAGCCTTTCCAAGGTTCTCTGAAAAAAATCCTTCTCACTCATTTTGTAGTAAGTGGCTACTGTCAGTCTCTCTTACCTCCTCTCCCCATCCCTATCCCTATCCTCTTCCTTCTCCCTCTGCTACTCCCTTCCCTCTCTCAAAGACAGTTTCTGTGTATTTTGGTTGTTGTCTAGTC